ACACACACACACACACACACACACACACACACACACACACACACAGAGCCCAGTCAGGCTAACCACATTGCACTTGCTGGTAAATTGTGGTAAACAAATGTGGTAAACTCCTTGAAACACTTGATTAAATATTTAACAAAGGAAAGACGCTCACTGCCTCTGTGTACTCGACTGCTCCATTTCTCTTTCAGGGAGATAGCATCATGCCAGAGTACATCTATATGCAAAAGTGCAAAGAGAGCAGTTGTAAACTTTTACAAAGACAGTTTGTTCTTCACTGACCCAAGGCCTAGAGCTAAACAAGAGAGAGGTCACTGAGGACTTGGCCTATTACGATGGACTCAAATATCTGTCCTATATCTATTGGGTTGAAATAGAGAGAGCCATTTCAGACTGTTTTAACCTCCGATCACAGTGTTCTCCCTGCTGGGTTACAACATAAAAATGATAAACCTAACCGTTATAATGCAGCACCATACATCCCATCACACCACGAAATGAGTCTGAACCACTAGTGGCTGATGCTCATTGCCGCTGTGCTAAAATTGCACCAGTTTCTTTGTTTTTCTTTTTGCCTCGCTCACTCGGCAGCACAGTAAAAATTGAAATGTCATATAAAACGTGACAAGATGCTAATATGTGGCTCCCAGAGGGCATCTGAAAGCGATTTTGTAACTGCAGATGGAGGCGGCATCCCTCCCATTTCCACCCCAGGAAAAAAGAAAAAAACATTGAAAAGTTGAGCAAGTTGAGGAATGCTTTAGGGGCGACACAAATTCAATTTCCAAAGCCTGTGCAAGAATTAGGAATGACAGAATAATAAATAGCGCATACAATTAGCACCTACTGTGTACTTAAAACTTGACGTGTTGCAATCCTCTCTGAGAAAAAAATCAAACATGGATACAAGAAAAATCATGATTCTATACACATAAACAAGATATTTGGCTGCTGTTGTCGACTTGCAGCAGATAAATAAATATAACAATAATTTAGAGATTGATGAAAGTGCAACACTGTTCACTGGTAGGAGGCTTTCATTTGCTCATTAGCATTCACTGGCTGTATTCAGTTCAGTCTAGTAGTATTTTGTTTGGCTCTACACAGGAGTAAATATTCTGAGTCATAGTGAAATGGGCAGATGTCCTTGTCTCCAAAATGAAGCAAGTAAGAATGTACTGTATATAGTTAGTACATTGCAAAAAGCTTCAAAAAGTCTATTAGTTCATTCATGATCAAAGACCATGGGATTGTTAATCAGCACAATGAGACAAATTTGTTTTGCATATTTTCATGAATGTTGGCAGCAAGTCAAATGCAGTCATGGAGTACTTTCTGTCTCTCACGTTGACCACTTAAATGAAATAGTTCAGCTCCTAAACCAGTCCCATTATGTAAGCCAAAGATTAAACTAAAACTACTGTGTTTCATCTGTGTCTATTCCAAGTATTACCAGCTCCACTGGGGAGCAATGAGTCACAGATTTGACCCCCTGGGAGTTAAGAAAGTCCCTAAAAGGGGAAAAAAAAATAAACTTGGCAACCCAGTGGCCTAGAAGAACAGATCCCCTCTGTCAGGAAATGACAACAAGACGAGACAAAAGGCCCTGTGACCGGCCTCAGATGCCACCATGCAACCTGGCACCTCGCCAGCGCCACATGAAAGAGGCAGATGTTCCCCCCCCCTTTTTTTTTAAGCAGCAGCTTTAATAAATAATTTATCTCATACAACAACTAATCCATGGGTGAATGTGGGGAATACATCTCTATTTCCCTCCCTCTCTTTTTATCATAAGCACATAAATATCTGTTTAACTAGGGTGTTGAGATGTGCTGCACGTCCTCCTGGCCCTCATCAGGCGGCTCGCACACACAACAGAGGCCACGTTAAGATCTGAAGGGTCGTCCCACTGCCATAGGTCCAATGTAAATGTGAGGAGAGCGTGTATGTCTGTGCGTATAGGATGAACACAGTTTTCTTTGAGAATATCCGTGTACCGAGGGTTGCTCCCACAAAGCCAAAGTCAAACTCCAGTTTAGACTGTCAGCTGAAGGTGGACCAGGCAGGCACAATGCTCTCTAGTGCTAATTAGTCTCTTCACCTAGCCGAGTCCCATAGCGAGGATAAATATACACATACGTAAAAGAGGGGGATAGAGGGAAAGAGGGAATAAAAGAAAGAGGTGTTGGTGACTTATTTTCAGTTTGACCTCTGCTTCCTATCCTAAAGAGAAAGGTTTCTGGTGGTACGAGTGTGTGTTTGTGACTCTGATGAGCCGGGTGGCAGGAGGTTGTATGCCACTGATCATCTTTACCCAACTCCCCCTGGGGCCTCTCATCACCTCCACCACACCAGCCACTCCATCAGACTCAAGGTCAGGCACGCACACACATAACTGACTACCACCCCACAACTTCTGCGCTTCCCCTTCCTCGCCTCCTGCTGAACGCCACCCGACCCCCGCCCAACCTGCACCCCAAGCCTGCCCAATTCTCCCCCACTTCGCCTCACCTCTGCTCCCCAGCTCCGGCACTCTCCTTCCCCTGTCCTTCCCTGGATCCAGTCTGGCAGTGTGTGATGAATGGGACAGCATTACTCTTGTCCTCTGTTGGCCTGGTTTAGCTGCTCCAGCCCATCACCCCCCATCTGTCTGTCTGTCTGTGTTGGCTTAAAACATATGCTACTGCGCAACCTAAACTCTGGATTAATTTGTTTTTACAATACACCAAGATGAAGGTACAAATGGGATTTCACATCTTATAATAAGGTACAGACATTTGGTAATTAGGTTAGCAATTACATTTATCGTTAAGACACATTTAGGCTTTTTTGATTCTGTAAGGTGAACGTCTATTCTACATTTAACTAATTATGATTTTGAACTACATTATATTATATGTTTTTATCAAGTAAATCATGTTTTACTCTTTCAGATCAGATTCATCACCTAGGTCTGTAAAGCTCTTGCTAACTTTTGTGTACCTTTCATTACATATTCACATTCAGAGACACAAGCAAAAGAAACAGCTGTAACATCCATGGTTTTAAACTTTGTTTTGGAAGGAGAAAAAAAACCCGACAGAGCGAGAGTGCATCGCTATGAAGTGTAGAGATCACGTCTTCAAAAAAGTAAATAAAATATGCATCCTCTCTGTGCTCATTACAGATTTATGACTTTTGTTAAAAGAAAAGGTGGCGGCTGCCTTCTTACATGTCTGACTTTCAAATTCAGACGACAATGCTGTCAAGTGTTGTGCTCCACATTCTGTCCAATGAGAGACTGGGAGGGCTGAGTGTGTGCCATCTTCAACGTCATATTTGGTGAGAGTTGCGAAGAGAGTAACTTTGAGTGGATGAGAGCACACAAGCACTCCTCACCTACAGTGCAACGAGTGCTCACCGTAATCCTTTGATGCATAGTTCATCAGTCAAAAAGTTCAGTTGGTTCAGCTGCTCGTGTGCATGTGATTCAGAACAATAACAGTTGGGGGAGTAGAGATTGCTGCATTAGGCATAATGAGCATTGGGATTTGCTCCAGCAATATGAAATAGTTTTGCTGTTTCTGTAGCAACTTTTAAGGAAGAAGAGCTCACAAGTGCATTCAAATCACCCCAAAACCGCACACACATGCACACAAGTATACACACCAGGGTTCTGAAAATCATTAGAAAATATGTAAATATTGTCAGTGACTTAGGGGTCATAAGGTGTGAAAACAATTCTTTTTTGTGAGACAAATGCAATTAGTGCTTCCAAAAACAAAACAAAAAGAAGTTAAAAAAAAAAAAAATAAATAAAAATAAAAAAACATACTAAGAGGGGAATTGCATTCTCTTATGGCCCTCTCACTGCACAGAATTACCCCAAAAATTGACGAGAGTCACTCCCAATATCACCCTTTAGTACCCCAGAGCAAAACACCATTGCACCTCAACACCTTGCAGGTTAGCAGTGCTACAGGGAAGTCACACAAAAAGACGGGGGAGGGCAGCCTTCCATGCTGGAGCCCCATTAGCTTCTCCATCACCTAAGAGAGCAGGCAGAGGCCTCGAGGTTGGGTTGCGGGCCAAACGTGCAGTGCGTGGGTGTTGATTGAGACGTGGACAGGTGACAAGTACTGTACAAAAACCCCGACAGGACAGCAGACGGAGGCCGTCGAACAGACGATGAGCTAAATAGGAAACCGGAAGACAGCGACACACACCATCGGGAGTCAGTGCTAGACCCACACACATGCCCACTTACCACCATCGCTCGTATCCACTCAAAGTGCCAGGAAGCCAACATATCCTCGAGGATATGGTTTTTATCACGGCTGTCCTCCCAGGGGCCTGGTTTAGGGTCCTTGTGGATAGATTACAATGAGATTTTCTCTTTACAACCCAGAGAAATGAGGGTGAAAGGGGTTAAAGAAAAAAATGTGGATGTCTTACAGCTGGGTCTTAAAGTTGATGTTTTGGCAAATATAACAAGGCTGTAGCCTAAAGTTAAGAAAACAAATGTAGCCTTGCAATGCAGACGAGAGTCATGATTGATTTTTATTTTTCTAGTACTCACCTTTGTATAGACCTAAAAAAAAACACTATTTGATATTTATTGGGTCCATTGGAGCAAATCTGTAATCAAAGGAGCACCCATATATATATAATCTCTAGTGAGTATACTGTAAGCTCTGTTAACCTATAGGTATACTGTCCATAAGTACAGAAAAAGACCCACAGTGCAAAAACAACACCATTTAATTTAAATAACAAAGGCCAGAGTTAAAGTAAAATGTTAAGAGGATGGCACAGAGTCAGAGACTGAAGGAGAATCTAGTGAAAGCAAAAGACAAAGCAAGAGATATGTATCTGGATGGAATAGAGATAGAGAGAGATGATCCACCTGATGTTTGTGTGCGACAAAGAGGAAAAACAAACAAACAATGCAGTGCATTTTGCATAGAGAGACAATACCCCTCCATGCCTCTTTCACCCTCCTTTTTGTTTTCATTCCTCCCTCTATTAGCAAAACATGATTAAAATGCAATTCCTACCAGCGTCTCTGTTGAACGAGAAGGGGAAAAAAAACTGAGATGGGAAGAAAAATGAAGCGGAAAAGTCAAAAGCATCTTTTATGGCGTGATGCTTTTCATCCTTCACAGGCGGCGAGAAGAAAAGAACACAGACATTCAAACTTTTTTCTCTTCCCCTCGTTCCCATTCTCCTCAGCAGTCGAAAACTCCCATGATACCCGAGGACAACCCGCTGCATCACAAGCTCAATAGCCTCCCCAGAACAACATTTCAGTCACACTTTTTTTTTTTTTTTTCAAAGAATTGATATAATTCCCAGTGCTCTCTTTAGTCCAATTACATTATGCCATGTCGCTATCTGAGCGATCTGCACAGTGCCGTGACTGGGACTGAGAGAGGAGTGTCGGGGCCTGGGAAGGTGCCGCAGAGCTCCTTGTGCTATCTGGAGATAAGTCGGAAAACTTGCACCATTTTTAACTATATTCACACTGGGACAAAGTGTGTGCCTTATTTAACACATTATATTGGAGCGGCACTTGCTTAATGATACGTAGAAGAAGAGACAGAGATGTGGAGAGAAAGAGACAGATAAATACAAACAGAGGAGTTGAGAGATATTCTAAGAAATGGATGAGAGTCCTACAGGATGGGAGCTGGATATGTGTTACATACATACAACCATTGATAAACACACATGTGCACGACTGTGTGTGCGCTGAACATGCCTACAGGGAATATGAGTAAAGGGTGAAACGGCGGTCTTAGCACACTAGATGACAAAGATAAAGAGATACCGTGGTGTAGGAAGATGGCTGTGTGGCAAGAGAGATGAAGAAACAGAGGATCATGTATGTTCAATAAAAAATAAAATGTGGACTCATCACTAATAAACTAAATAGCTCTCATAACGCTGATGACACCAGGCATGCATTCCAACTTGCTCTAACCTTTTTGGACCACTGGTTGTGTGGGAAATACCATATCAAGTGTATTCATTCATGGGTTATGCAAGTTGTGCACGAGTCAAACAGTCCTCTATAATTATGCCATAAGGGATGGAAATACAGTTTTGAATTATAATCAGCTGGTGCCTCAATAGGTCAGCAATGAAAAACAACATAAACGTAGGTTAATGTTGGACTCAAGTCTTGAATGAAAACAGATTTCATTGCTGGATATAGGTGTGGTATGGAGTGCCTTGGAGAATTGGTCCGACAGTAATACCAAATAAATCACTTTTCACTTCATTATAATTGAGATTTTACAGATCACTGTGCTGAAGCTAATGAATGGTCAACTCCATATTTACAATCAACTTTACACATGAGCGAGGGAAGGAGAAAATGGGCAAGAAACGGGGGAGATTTTGAAGGTGCATGTGGTGTGTGTGTGTGTGTGTGTGTGTGTGTGTGTGTGTGTAAGAGATATAGATAGACATGGAGAGAGAAAGAGAGAGGGAGTGCACCAAGCAGTAAGCCCATGAGCAGGACATGATTGCAGTGTGTATCTTATCTGTGTCAGGTCCTCCTGAGGCTAGTGGAGCCTAGCTGAGCGGAGCACGAGCGCTTCAGTGACCAGTCAACCGTGTGAAGGTAATCTCCCCTCTCTCTCTCTCTCCCTCCCTCTCTCCCTCCCTCTCTCCCCCTGTAAGCCAGCTCCCAACCCCCCCAGCTGAGCCGCTGCACACAAACACTAAGTGAGATGCTCACAACAGAAACAAACCCGTTTATGCACACTAACACTCACCCATGCAAAGCCTTAAGGTGATTGCCTCATGCCGGCTCTGGACAGTGAGCCCACAGGTGAGAGGAGACATCACAGGCTACATTGCACACTGAAGCCCCTGCAGCCAGTAGCTTGTAAATATAGGGATTCTATCTCACAATGTAACTTCAAGCTGCATTGGGAGATACTGAAAAGGTCCATACAAGGTACTAGGGGTTACGTTTTCCTGTTTTTTTAAAATCAGTAAGACAGAATTAAAAGGAAAAACAACATGCATTTGCTTCGTTTTTTTGGGGAGTAGGGATGGTTAAGGTGACAAAAAGTCAGAGATAATAGATGTCAATACACATCTATGTCATTTAAAAGATGGCAGATATTTTGACTTCATAGCAGAAAATCACAGGTATAACTAAGAAGTGATAATTGCTGCTCCAGGGCCCTTGAATTGTGCATTCTGCTCAGTCGCAGGGCTTACTTTGGAACTTGGAATGGAGCCATTGTTAATCTTCCAGTTAAATAAAAGTGCTACTAGGAAGGTGACAAGAGCCTAATGGTTGGCTAAGTAGCTTATGTGTCAAAAAATATGATCCTTTCAGGCAGAATATATATAATACAGGTTATGTTTAAGTATACAATTTCTATAGCTTTGTGTCTTCCATCCATGTATTGGATCACTAATATACTTTGAAGGAGAAAAAGTGCATTTGCAACTTGCCACTGTGTTTAAAATGAGTTTAGTTGAAAATAGAGGTTAAAAACTGGGGCAGTATACTGCAAACATATTTTATGTGTGTGCAGGCAATAAGAATCAAGCAACATTCCATGTTGAAGGTCAGCGCTCACACACACACACACAAACAGTGGAGGAGTAGAGGAGGGGAGAGGAAGAAATAAAATGAGTTTGTGTCTAACATTCTTTCACCCTTCATGTGCTTTCCTGCTTGGCTTTAACAACAGAGCCGTCCCCATCAATTAGTCGAGATGCTGGACTTTCATTGAGATTAAGTGACTAATATCAGTGCTTGCTCACAAGAAAGACACATTTCACGTCTGCCCAACAATCTGTTAAGTCAAAACACATGCGGTGATCCAAGGCAACAAGCCTGCAAGGGGTCCTCCATGCAATGAAAAACAGGTGCTCTACTTTTTGGCCATGTAATACCTCATTTAGCCTCTGGAGCAAAGGTTACCCAGCTAATAGCTGCCTTGTGGTGCGCACTGGGAAGAGCCGTGCACATGGCCGGAGTAAACATCTGGAACGGATTGTACATACTTGCAACATATGCTTCAAGTTCAATTAAAATGAGGCCTTGGCATATTTATTAATCTTTTTTTCCCTCTCCTCTCTCACTTACTCTCTCTCTCTCTGTTCTTATAGCCCTGTGCCATAAAAGAGGCCTCCTTCGACCCGTCCTTCATACTTATACAATCTGAAGCTGTACCTCATATCCAATGTAAAAGACCTCATAGCCAATGTAAAAAACTAATTTGTTGAGCCTTGGAAGTGCATTTGTTCTGCACTTAAACAGGTTGGACAGAGAGCAAGGGGGGAGGGGGAGAGAGAGAGCATGAAATAAAAAAAGGCAGGGAAGAGGACGATTAAGGGAAGGGTAGAGGGAGAGTGGGAGGGCAAAGACATGTAGGCGAAGAAAAAAGAAAAATGCCCCCCTTTCAACTTCCCTACAGCTCAAATGAAATGCTAACAGTTGAGGGGAGCAATAGATCAAAATGTATGAATCCAGAGTTGGTAAATTGTAGCCTTTGTGGCGGCTGTGCTATCCAGCATCCCAGCCCTGTGTGAGCACAGAGAGCAAGGCCCTCTTATGTGGAATAATCAGTTTGGCACCAAATCTGACGGAGGCCGCAAAAGCGGCTGCTGCACCTCATTTCAATATGAAAGTCCAAAAATGTATTTCATATAATCTGCCGCTTTTCAAATGCCTGTATTTTTTTCCCTGAGAGGAGGGGGGGAAATGCAATGATGGAGGACAGACATAAAGAAGGGGTAAAAAAAAAAAAAAAAAAAGGAAGGTTCAAGGTTGCCTGGTGCATATCTTCAGTCAGTGCCCCCCTGTACATTTCAGCCTTGGAACTTCACAGCCATGAAACTGTGGTTCTGCATCACTGTGGGAGAGGATGTAATGCTCACGTATCTTTGTGTGCTCATCGCCCAATTGGCTGCCTGGCTGACTGACTATTTGACCATCTGCACTATAAATGGGTTTTTCTAACCCTTTTGTTGCAGGCTTGCACTTACGGCCCTTCAAAACGGTAGAAGTTGTAGCAAGGTTGCAGTTGCATAAGTAAATTCCGCATATAGAGTGTCCTCAGGCTAAAATCACTTTCACATATCAAATTGCCTGGTCAAAGGCCTTTACAATTACCATTGCAAACAGCCAGAGCTTTCCTCCACAAAGATCACCAAACCAGACCGTGCAATTTACCACATCTTAGCCTACTAACCTTTATATTGCAGACGTGCTGCTGTAAGGCATCAAGTATCAGCTCAAGTCATTTCAGATCTACTGTTCAGTAAAGCTACTTCACTCTTTTCACGGTAAAAGATTTGTAATTTTCTTAAAAGTTTGAGTTATAATTTTGTCCTTGTTTAACACTGCTCGAGTATCAAACAGCACATCGATTTGTGTGCCGCGCCAAACCAGACAACACGGCGGTTGGATAAAGAGCTGTACCATTTCAATTATCATTCCCAAGTGGAACATTGACAAGGGACCTTATCCTATCCAGTGACATTTCTTTCAGTAGCTGTTCCTACAGTGTAAACGAGCAGAGGCAGTAAAGCAGCCACCTGTTGTTACCTGATAGTGTCTGGACAAGCCCAGATGCTGTTTTACTGGGACATAAAGGAGCTGTGAGTGGACCTAAATAACTAACTAAGCACTTTATGTGGGTGCATGTTCTCCGGAAGCAGGGCTGAAACACAAGCGTAACTTCAATTCAACATAGTGTTGCGTGAAGCGAAAAATAAGGATAGTGTGCAAAACGGCAGTAACAGACCAAAGCAAACGACAAAGAGAAAAGGTGAGAGATGTGTTGTGTATATATCTACAGAGAAAACTTTTCAAACGGTTAAAAGGTTGTACAATCTTTGTACATGTGTTTGTGCCTCAGGCAGTGAAAATACCTGAACGGGGGAGGAGATGGAGGGAAAGATGGAGTCATTTCTTTCTTCCGTTTGTGTTTCCGGTGTATGGAGCTGTGTCAACCTCTCCTGAGGCAGTGTGAGTATGCGCACGTGTGTGTGTGTGTGTGTGTGTGTGTGTGTGTGTGTGTGTGTGTGTGCGTGCGAGTGCATCCTAGACAAGACATAATTACCTTGTCATCTTTGTCAAAATCCTCATCCTCGTCCTCCAGCAGGTCCTCCACTGCTTGCTGACAGTTGCAACAGAGGAAAAAGAAGAAAGAGAAATATGAACGTTTATGCAACAGCTATAGAACAAATAAACATCAGATAGCACAGGGTTAACATCAGTAGAACAGCCGAAGAGGCACACTAAAGCTGATTGGTTATGCTTATGTCTGGCAAGAGGTCGTTAATGAGTATGGAAAGCATGCAGACGGCACAACTACTGGATTGGTGTGTGCTATTATGTCACGAGCTTCAGAAATGTTTAGAATGTAATTTTAGAAACATTCTGTTGTTCAAATGTGTCGACACTTCTGTAAATGCAAGCAAATGCTCTGGCTTTGAATTCCAACGGGCTGAGGATTAAAGTCTATTCATCCACTCAAATTGCACTGCACAAAAGCATTCAGATCTTTTTCCATTCAGCGGGACGAGACCAAGAACTCTTCTTCTGTTTCGGCTTCGGCTTGGTCCCATCCGACCTCTTCAACCTCTGCACTCGTCTCTCACCTCTGCCGCCAGCCGTCCGAACACTAAACATTCACATCTATCTATCGTTTCTCATCCTCTCACAGAACGATGCTCCACGAGAGAAGAAAGCCTGCAGCACACAGAGCAAGTCACAAAGAACAGCAACTACGTGCTTCAGTGGTCCACGACCGATGAAACCGGAGCTGGTGTAGCTCTGAAGCCCCCAAATACCATGATACACACTGTACAACACAGCGCATACAGATATATTGACTATACAACATAACAATGGTACATGCAAGTGGTACCTTTTCCTATTCAACAATGTAATTTTTACATAAACATTAAGAGACATTGAAATGTAGTAGGGAATTGGCTTTACTGAAAATGCAGCCCTTTACATTACAGCTGAGACCTCTATCTGTATGTGAAAAGCATGTCTTGGCATATATGGAAAGCCCTGAACCAACAAGAGCAGCTTGGGCCTCTGTGTTTAGTGATACTATGACTGAGTATTGTATGCAACAGTACTTGAATTGTTTGGGCGTCTTTGTGAGCATGCACAACTTCACGTGTCTAGACGTGATGCCAACGAGGCACAAACCACAGATCACTGCAGTATCTCTTATCCACCCTCTGTCTGTCAATCACAGATCAAAGCCACAAGGTCACATTGTTTGCTCCGAATTTAAATAAACAAACACGCATATTATAAGCCCGACAGCCGTCAACCTCAGTATTCATCTCTCATTGTTGTGCTGCGTTACGACCCCCCCCCAAAAGAACGTTGCCCAGCCTCGACATCACCACAAGCCCCTAACCACCTCCAGAACAGCACTGGCACAACTGGTTTGGAGAAATCCAAAAATCATTACTTAACAACACAATAGCTTTTGTCCTTTTTGTTTTTCCCCGGAATAAGGGAGGGGGGGGGAACTATGTGGCGGCTGACATAAGCCTCTTATGTAAATGCGGCTTCCCACACAAACAAAGAGGAGTTCAGAACAGCAGAGTTGAGAGGGTAGAGTCAATAGTGAGTGTGTGCGTGTGTGTGTTCCATCAATAGTTTAGAGTCTGGAGTGCAAAGTGTTGTGCGTCAATGTATGCACGGCACCCAGCATTTTAACTGTACAGCAACCGGTCATTCACAGTTCCCTGAGAATCCATCAGTGTCGACACAAATAAGCTTGAGTGTTGACAGCTCAACATCTCTGTATTGATACGGAATACGTTCACAACTACAGTATACAAAACCCAGAGAGGGGCTTCTTTCACTCAGCTGAGTCAAAAGACGTGATGCTGTCAAATGAAAGCCTTCTGGCAACTCTAAACAAATGAACTATAACTGTTTATAAAGTCATCATGGTTCCTCCCAAATCCTTTCACCCATGCCAAAATACAAACATAATGGATTCCTCCACACAGAGGCTTCACCAGGGCACGCCTGGCACACGCTCCAAACTTTAAACAAAGGGAATGAGCATGAGCTAGCTGGAGAAGCATGACCTAGAGAGACAGAGAGAATGATAGAGTCGTTTGTCTCTCTCTGCTCTCCGCTCTCTCTCTCTCCTCTGCCGCCTCTGGTTACAGAGAGAAGTCATGTTTCCTGCAATGAGACACAGTGTAAAATTAATAAATAAAACGACATGGAACATGTCATCTGCCCTGAAGATTGCCACGGCTAAATGTGTGCACTGAAGCTACTGTCTCAGTAAGGGAGGATATAAATTACCTCAGTGCAGCCGATGAATTCCAAACATCTTTCTTTCTCTCCCTCTCTCTATTTGTCTCGCTCTTTCGCTCTTTCTAAGACCTGTTTGGTGTATGATATCATTTGTCTGCTTATCCCTCCATTATCATGTTGTTTGAATTACTATCATTACAGCACGGCGGCATCAAAGCCTTGCTGTCGACAGGATCGCGTAGCGCTCACGTTGCCTGCAGAGCTGCTCCAGTCAATTCAATATCTACTGAGGTGGGGGATTAACATATTCAGACCTATTCAAATGATACAGGGATGATGCAGGCTACTCTTACAGATTACACTGTGCCCCATAAATACATACAAAGACGGTGATAATATAAAATACACACAAAGAATATAACGGAGTGCAATGACATTGGGAGTTCAAATGGCTGTGAAAGTATGAATACATCGCTTTGGCCTTGGTGGTTTAGACCTAAAAAGCTGATTTGCAAAAATTAAGCAGAAATTGCTTTGGTTCAGATGCTAAGCTCTGCTACATCACTCCAATTTTCCTCTAACTGTACTTCCAATCAAGGCAAACATATCGTCTGTAAAGAATGAACTGCTGTCCATTAAAATTAACTGGAAAAAGGATTGTGCATTATATGTTTTTGCTCTGACAAGAATGCCATGTACTCTGTATGCAGAGGTTTTGACTGTCAGTGACTTAATTTTGAATGACATACCAGTCCAAACAACATCAGAGGTGGTGTAGTATCCTCTTGTTTTGATGTATTCTTCAGAGTATCCTTGTATGGCTATTGTTCTACTCCATTTGGTGATTTGACAGCTTCAAAGCTGGAACTGTTACCGTTTTGCATCGTCATGTTAGCACTAATTTACATGCAGCCTTACTGTTGCTCTGCTCCAGATGAAGTGCATGGGGCTAGCTAAATCTAAACTCTGACTTTGATGTTGGAGGACTAGAAGTGTGGTTGTAGCTTATCCAGGTAATATGACGTGAATAGAGCCAAAACAAGTGTTAAACTGAGGCTACAGGAAAAGATAAACCTTGTTTAGAATGGAAAATATATTCCAAGCTTCAAGTACAAATATAAAAAAAATGCAAACGAGCTAATCAACTAGATATACTTATCCATAGGTGTATAACTACACTGTAAGATACTTAGAGGGTTTAAACCTAACTTGACATGTCGGGAACAAAAAAATCTCTACTTTACATAGATAGATGCTACTTTCATGGAAGTTAAAGAGACAGAACCTGTCTGGATCAATGGAACATGTGTACGCACACAGACACTCCCACCCCACAGAGGGAAAGTAAAAATCTACTGCCTGAAGTAGTAGACACATCATTTTCACCCCTGAAATGCCTCTAAACTCGACCCTCTCTCTCCCTGGCTAGGCTGAGTTCCACCATCTCCCCTCCTAACCTTCCCAATGACAGCCGCAGTGGGAATTGACGCCGAGGCAGACATCTCAGCGAACATGAAGATATATTTTCTCCTCCTTTTTTCTCCCATTCCTCCATCCCTTCCTCCTTCCACCCTCCTGCTGCTCTTCCTCTTTGATACGTGAGGGGGTTTTAACCTCTCCAGCTGCTGAGGTTTGGCCGACTGGCTGGCTGGGGGATCTCAAGGCCCTACTTGGTATGCACTGTCCATGTGTGTGTGTGTGTGTGTGTGTGTGTGTGTGTGTGTGTGTGTGTGTGTGTGTGTGTGTGTGTGTGTGTGTGTGTGTGTGCATATTGCCTACACCACAGTTTCTGAAGACTGGGGGAGGGCTGTGCGTCTGATAAGGGCTGCTGGCTGACCCACGCGGGCCCTTCACAAGCTGTCAGAGCCGTGGCCCTCAGAGGGGGGCCCTTCCATCTGCACTGCCCCAGCCAGAGCTCACCCAGCAGGGGGCCAGAGAGCGGTGAGGCCGGGGTGCTACCGGAGCTGGAGGCTAGGGGTGGGCGTGAGAAGGCTGGCTCCATATTCATGAAAGCAACACCAAATCTGTGAGCGTTGGAGAAGATCGAGTTTCGGGATAGTAACGTAAGCATGGCTAACACAATGCATGTGTCTCATTGCTTATTTGCTGACAAATCCTCAAGTGTGTTTAGTCAGGCATTCAGCAGCTATCAAGAGGAAAGCACAATTTTACATGATCCACAAGCGTTGTTGAGATAGTGAGTAAATACAGTGATAAGATGTTTGTCCTTCTCAGACAGATGATGCAGTCTTGTCTTATTGTTTCGTATACTCACTTGCGGAAAAGAGGGCTAGAGCTGGTACATACTTGATGTGCAATCTATTCCACACAAACATACTCACATCTGTAGGCTTAAGCTCAAGGTTTAACCTGGAAAACTCCCAAACAGCTACAGCGGGTGTACTGTATAGACAAAAACAACAACAACAAGCACTGAGGCAGACACCCTGAGCTGCTGACGTTGTTAGCAAAGAGCACAGACAGTTACAAAGGTTCAGTGTGATGAAGGGAGTTAGACAAATGGAGGGAAAGGAAGAGAAAGAGAGACAACATGATGAAAAGGGAGGCTGGGAGAATTCTGCAGTGGCATTCCTGATGCTCCCGATGCTCCCGTCCCGCTTCAAACTATGCCCGTCGCCTGTCTTTCTGCCTGCCAGCCTGCCATCCTATCTGCCAGTTTAGCAGAGACAGAGAGGCAGCAAGAGGAGCAGAGACGAGTGCGGTGATGCCGGGGCGGCACGGGGGAAATCAGTGGGGCACAGGCGCTCCCAGTTAAAAGTGACATGACCTTTTGATTTTGTCACCTGTCACCAACTGCCATGTCTGACTCCGCACTGAGGAGTGCCTGCCATCCACCGCTGTTTTCCTCTG